CAAATGTTTCTGAACATAAGTATATGCATTATAAAATATCTTGAATGAAGTTCATCCACATATATTTTGCAAATCATATTTATTTGTGTCTTTAAGGGGTGTTTCAGAATGAAAACAAATATATTTACGCTGTGATGTTAAGATTATTCGCCACTTGAAATTGATCGGGAAAGAGTCACGTAACCACCCGAAATAGAAAGTAAAATACTGAGAAATAAATTGTAATAAAAGGGCATGCTCATGTGTAAAAATATCATTGAAGACAACTATGAACAGCTTAGCATCTCAAATTTATAACAAAACTCGTTGCAAAGTATTGTACTTTTATATATAGCATATAATATCAAATTCAAATGTCAATCATTTCACAATTTGTACCTTTTTCAGTTTCGGGTACATTTTCTATACTACTCCGATTATCTGTATTCTTTACCATATGTTAGCACAGTGTTTTGGTTTCGGATAAATCGTTGTTTTTAAAACGCTCTATTGGCTTCACAACGAGTAACTCCCCTTTGTAAACTGAGAACGCTAATTTTCATTTTAATTATTAAAATGAGCTGTTGTTTGTCTGTCAATATGAAATGTTTTTCATCTTGTTATGCACTTTCGCCAAAAATGTAATTTGTTTGTTTTTTTCGGTACCATTGGATAAGAGTATCGCTGTTTTCACAGATGCGGTTGCAAAAAGAGGGGAGGGGTCCGAAGAACAACAGATTTCATCAGCAGATTTTTAAATCTTTGTTTTCACATCTAGCATTGTAGGGCATTGGTAACATATGGTATTCACTGTATGGATTTACAGACAGATTTTTTTCATATATGCCAAAATAAAAAGTAAGGAGATGTGGTAAGATTGTCAATGAGACAACTATCCACCAGCATTTTAGAGTAAAGATATTGTGGATATAAGCAAGTATAGGTCATCGTACAGCCCTCATCAATACAGTTAATTCAAAAAAGATAAAGAAAGGGTCTGGAGGGGTCTTTTAATCCTGTATTTCTTTAATGTCAGTTTTTATGTCATTTTTTCTATTCATTATATTTCATGCCTTTTATTCTCTCTTCTTTGAAGTCTAGTACCACATTGTTCTCTATTCTTCCATTTTTTGGCCTATTGTTCTGTCTTCTTTGTTTTTCTGCTGTATTGGCCCCTTATTTTCTATTTTGTAAACCCCACCTAGACCCTCATAAAAGTAATGTTTATAAATTCAAAATCTTCAACCAAATTGCAATTCAATCTTTAATCCAGTCAGAATATTTTAATGAAAATTATAAACTTCAAATTAAGTTTGAAGTGACAACCAAACTAGAGTTTAGGCTAAACTACTGATTAGATTAATAAAACCAGGAAATATGATTGGTTGATCATTGGCAATCATACCAATTTTTTTAATTTTTATACCGAAATTTATCACTGTCATTCCAATTTATAGGAAATTGATATCATCTTACATCATAAAGTCAGTTGTCTTTTCGTAGTTTTTTTTGTTTTTTGCCATAACATGGCCATTGCATTGTCATTTTGGTGGGGTTCGTGTTGTTCAGTCCGTGGTTTTCTATGTTGTGTTTTGTGTACTGTTGTTTGTGTGTTTGTCTTTGTCTTTTTTAGCCATGGCATTTTTGACTTGTTAGTTTGAATGTCCCTTTAGTATCCATCGCCTCTCTTTTTCTAAAGTTTGCTTACTTATAAACCGATGTCAATGATATTATAGGTATACACCATGTTATAGAAAACTCATCTCACTTTTTCGTCATTATTTGGTAAGAATGGATCGGTACGGAAATTCTACAATAATGTTAATATTTCGATGTTAAGATTTTGTGAAGCTACTCTTTATAAAAAAAATTATTTCATGATAGTAAAATTGTTGCGCTCAATTCCCGATGATATGTCTAAAGACTGCCTTTGTCCCTCCTTTTACAATACAGTATTACGTAGACTCCCTTTCTCTAACCCTCAACAATTCATACTAGTCTCCATGTCCTCAATTCAACAATACATACTTAGACTCCCTTTCCCACATTCTCTACAATTTTTCTCCCAACCTCGACAATACATAGTAAGAATCCCTTTCCACCAACCTCAACAATGACTACATTTTTTTGAAACACTTTTGTTTTTTCGACGACAGGTATAGATTGTCTAAGCCTTATTTGGAACCCCATTTTTAAATGCATACCTAGATACCCTTTCCTCGACCCCCTCGACAATGCATACTCAGACTCCCTTCATCCACCCTCGACAATGCATACTTGTCCCACTTTCTCCACCCTCTACAATGCATACTTAGACTCCCTTTCCCCTACCTCGACAATTCATACTAAGATTCCCTTTCCCTTAACTTCAACAATGCATACTTTGACTCCCTTTCCCTCACCCTTGACAATGCATTCTTAGGCTCACTGTCCCCAATCCTCCATATTAGATACCTAAACTCCCTTTCTCCCATCCTCAACAATGCATACTTAGACTCAATTTCCCCTATCCTCAACAAGGCAGACTTAGACTCCTTTTGCCCTATCCTCAATAATGCACACTAAGACTCATATGCCTCAAACCTCAATAATGCATACTAAGACTCCATTTTCCCTATCCTCAACAAGTCATACTTAGACTCCTTGTCCCCTATCCTCACTAATGCAGCCATGCGATTTCTAACATAAACAAAATGTCACATCCAGGAAAAGGACACAATTTATCGGTAAGATTACAGATTTTACGTATTTTCTGGTATTTAAAGTTTTAAGACTGCAATTTAACTTATGGCGCTTTTTTTTTTAAATCTTCCATCTTAGATTGATAAGTTGACGAAAAACGATACATTTACAACTAAAGACTGACCAACACCAACCGCGCAAAAATGTTGGAGTGATACCTCTCGAGTTATCCGAAATGGTGTGCAGACACTTCCCCATATGTGTCATCCATGGATGTAGTCATTGCAAGTATAAATAAGGTGATTGCACAATCGAGGGAAAGAGGATTGTAGCTACGAAAATTGGAAGATATCAGCGACTCAAATATTAAAAAAAAACGGTCAACTAAATCCTAGTTGTGTCCGTAAATTTTTGAAGGAATGACTTTAACTTTACCATTAGGAGCCTCTGGTTCAGTATTTTTCTTGTGAGCAGCAGCATTATACCAATGAAATCATGATAGAAAAATGCACTCTTTGGAATATCGTATCAATTCGGAGATGTATATTTTCCAAACTCAATAGTTAACATGCTCATCTTAATAATTTTTTATTGGATTTGGTAACGTTTGAAACGCCCTTTTTAAATCTATTTATAAAATTGAGAATGGAAATGGGGAATGTGTCAAAGAGACAACAACTCAACCATAGAGCAGACAACAGCCGAAGGCCACCAATGGGTCTTCAATGCAGCGAGAAACTCCCGCACCCGGAGGCGTCCTTCAGCTGGCCCCTAAACAAATATGTATACTAGTTCAGTGATAATGGACGTCATACTAAACTCCAAATTATACACAAGAAACTAAAATTAAAAATGATACAAGACTAACAAAGGCCAGAGGCTCCTGACTTGAGACAGGCGCAAAAATGCGGCGGGGTTAAACATGTTTTTTGAGATCTCAACCCTCCCCCTATACCTCTAGCCAATGTAGAAAAAACAAACGTACAACAGTACGCACAGTAAAACTCAGTTTAAGAGAAGTCCGAGTCCGATGTCAGAATAGTAAACAAGAGAAAATAAACAAAATGACAATAATATATAAACGAACAAAGGACTACTAGCAGTTACTGACATGCCAGCTCCAGACCTCAATTAAACTGATTGAAAGATTATGTCTTCATCATATGAAAATCAAGTACAATCCCTCCCGTTAGGGGTTTAGTATCATACCGTCATAAAATATACCTTTTTCAGAACTTATGAATTAATTACTAAGTTTTTCAAAAGTCGTTTTTTATAAGTTTTGAAGATTGTGCGATTTTCGCTAATTTGCTTGTCTTGTTATATCAGTTAATTATCAATGTTTAAACAGTTTTAGACCATGTACAATTATTAAACTTATTTGCTACGTAAAATAACGTTACAGATACAAAATAATATATGTAGTCCAAACAAATCCAGTGATCAAATTATAAAATGATAAAATTAATATGACAAGTACTCAGACGGCTAAAAGGAATAAATCATTGTTAGTTTTTATACCTTATGTTTCCGCTACAAAAAAATATCAGCCTTCTTTTCACGGAAAACAAACATATCCTGGACCACATGTCCTACCAATGAAAATAACTTTGATTATCATGTCCTTGTCCGTCTTATTAAACGATACACTATTTAAAGGTAGACTAAATACGTTTAATTTTATTATACATAGTTCAAGTAAGACAGGTAAGTTTAATTACCTTAGTACAGAAGGTATGAAATTTTGTAATAGCGTCCAATGATTGTAATTGTAGATTTTATTCACCTTTAACATGTTTTATGTGAAATTAGATGATGGATGTTGAAAAAATTCTCACTATTTCATTTTTATTATTATCATTATTGTTATTATTATTATTATTATTATTATTATTATTATTATAATAACAGTCGTATTTTTTTTTAAATCAGACTAATGATATAGTACGCCAGACGCGCATCTACTTAATACTCAAAAGAAGCGTAAAATCAAAACAAATGGAATATCAAATCAAGTTCAAAGTTGACCATATTAAAATTCCAAAAAGTTGTTCCAAAGATGTCGTAAATATCAGTCAATGTCAGTTGTAAGCTTAAGTAATATGCGTAACAATGAGTACTCAAAAACCCATCAAAGACTGTTTAAAATGTCACATATATAATTAATTTTGCATTTGATCACTTTCCCGCACATAAGCTTCTATAAAGATTACATAATGAGATTTTAATCGCTTCTATTTGATCTTAATGCGATTGATGTGTTTCCCTCGGTTTTAGTTTGTAACCCAGATTTGTTTTCGCTTAATCGATTTATGACTATTGCACAGCGGTATACTACTGTTGCCTTTATTTATCTTGCAGGACTACTGCATAATGAGAGCCTTCTTTGTCTTTTGCATTGTATTGATATGTTTGTCGGGTAAGTTCACGTAAGTGTATCGTGTTATGCAATTATCATATTATGGTTTAAAGACTGATTGGCTCGGAAGCAGAAGAATGGTTCTAGGCTCGATTGTGAGCTAGCACGTTTAAATTCAGCTCAATGTATATTTGTAAATACCAAAACTACCAATATGGTCATTTCTAACAGAAAAACATATGCAATACTTTTAATAACATGAGTTATTGATACTCATTGATGCCGTAAACCAACCCATTTTTGTCACTTTAAATAAAACATAAAGATAAGATGTTAACGATGTTAGCAACTCTTGATTTTGACGATTTGTCAGATATTCGGAAACCTCTATTTTTATCCATGTAGTGACTATAAAGATTTTGCCAACTAATCATAACCTGACTATTAAACAGATTTTTTAATGAAAAAGAAACAATTTGTTTTAGGTTTGGATCATACTGATGCTGCTGTTAAGTGCTTTAAAAGTTACTGCAGTAACGATGCTGGTTGCAGACAGGGATGTCTCGCCAATGGTTGTGGCTCGAAACATTTCTGCAGTGTCAAAGAAAAGCAATGCTGCTGTGATGGTTGTATTTCTGAATAACAACAGGAAAATTTCAAACATAACATTTTGAGCAGTGCAGAGAACGTGTTTATCTATGCATATTGAATTGTTACATTAATCTACGATCTGAAATTAACATTTATCTGACATTTTGATTTGTCGATAGATTTATGAATTAAAGTATTGTTAACTATCATTTATCACAGTTATTGAACATGCTCATTTTTAACGGAACTGCTTTTTATTATCTCTGGGGGGTTATTAATGCACTGCATAAAGACGCTCGTGTTTGTTTACGATGACAAGATTTTTAAACGAAATATGTATTTATAAGAATCTAATGAATACTTTTGGCATGTAAATGCATTGACAACAAAGAATTTTGTTGGATACACGGAAACACATCTAGTTGTTTTCAATAGATGATAATATGTACAAACATTCATTCATGAAATCTATAATTCTACAGATTTTTTGGACGATTTCTTTAATTAAACATTTAAGGTGGGATCGCTGTTTCATAATCTCTTTACCAAACATGTGGTGGAGTTAAGTCATATGATATATATGTATCTCAACTTCAAATCGATCATAAACCGTTTACCTATACATTTCCAGTAATTAAGTTTAAATGTTACGAATAGTGAAATATTTAGGAAAAATAGTTTACATGTATCAATGGATATAATTTGGGATATTAATAAAATCTATTGAGTCACACTGTATTCAATACAAAGCATGCCTTAAAAGTTAATGTTATATTAAGATGCAGGTTTATTTGCTCCAAAAAAATAAAAAAAACCAATACGTTATAAATTGTCTTTTCTGGATTTACTTCCATCAGGAACGCTCAAAGCCGAATATTTAAAAAAGCCCACGATGTACAAGAACCAAAACAGTTGAAGAGCTATATTACCAAAAAGTACCGAAGTATTCACTACTGAACTGATGTTACCCTCGGGACTGATAGTACACCAGCAGAGGTATCGACCCAGTGCTGTACGAAATGAAGAAAAATTGTTATTTTTGTATATTCAATCCATAGCGTTTATATTTACGACCAATAGGAGCTAGTACATATCTTAGTCATTTTGAACCTAAATTGTCAACGGAGTGCTTAGTGTGCCACTGTTAGTTGTATGTAGACGATAGACGAAATTTTCTTGTCTTGTTCACTAACATATAGGCCTGGTATTCTAGTTTAGCCTTTACAATCAGCTGGTAAACGTTTATCAACGAGTGTATCATCAAGCTAGACGCCAACACCTCATGTGCAGACATTAAATAGCATTGACACGGCAATTTGCTGTACACATGTTGATGACCATTTTAGATTATTCAAAATAATGATGGTTTTACACTTGCTTGCGAATGTTCTTTTACGTCGTTTTTGATAGGTTTACCATCTGTTTTGATTTAGGAGGGCCACGGATGAAGGTCTTTTGTAGTCCGAAAGCTGTGATTATCGTGACAATGGTAGTTCGATGAAAGATTACCATAAGAATGATTCCATTCATACGAAATGTTGTACAAAACGTCACAAATTGCAAGGGTTTTTTTTGGGTTTTTTTTTTTTTTTTGGTTTTTTTTTTATCGTGTATCACATAGTATTGTTTAATAACATTTCATTATATCCCTATACACTGGTCATTTTATTTACTGTTACCACATATCCTTACCTGTAGTAAACATGTACTTCATTATAAAAGTAAATATTAACATGATACCTGTCATCATATCAATTAAGATAAAAAACAAAAAAGAAGTTTAGTCATCCTATCAATCTAGATTTAAAAAAAGTTTGTTATCACTGTTTGGTTACCTTTTCACCATTTTTATTGCAGTTAAGCCGTTATTAACTTTTCATATCATGTGACAGGTGCATTCCACTCGTTTGCGGCAAATATTCCACTTAAATTGTACTTCAATATAATGTCATACAAGATTATATAATTCTAAATTAACTGTTATGTTAAAAGTAAATTAACAAAAATACTGAACTCCGAGGAAAATTCAAAACGGAAAGTCCGAAATCAAGTGGCAAAATCAAAAGCTCAAACACATCAAACAAATGGATAACAATTGTCATATTCCTGACTTGGGACAGGCATTTTCTTATGTAGAAAATGGTGGATTAAACCTGGTTTTATAACTAGCTAAACCTCTCACTTGTATGACAGTCGCATAACATTCCATTATATTGACAACGATTATTGCACTTACATTTCTAATAACCCCTCTGGCTTCTCTGACACTGAAATAACATATTCTGCTATTCCTGTCTACAATGGGAAAGCCATTTGAATTCACAGTATCTGTTTTACAAATAATTGAACTTCCATCAATCTCATTTTCAGTTACGTACACTACATATTCTATAAAATGAATAGGTTATAGAAACTTTTTAACTTTTAACTTGAAAAACACCGTTAAAATTATATTCAAATCACTTCAATATAATTTCCTAAAGTATGTTTTAACAAGTGCTTGAATCTCCGAAATCCCTTTCAAAATTAAATAAAGCATAAAGCCGAAACTAGGAGGTCTTCTAAATAAACTTATCTAGCTGCTCATTAGTACGTACTTCGATAATAACATGATAACTACCAAACCTTTCCAAATTATCCGTTGAAAAAATTTAAAAAGTATTCAGACATTAAAATTCAAACTCCCTCATGGAAACTAAGATGAATATGGCGTTTACATGTCCTAATTGATACGTTACGAGCGTGCATGCTCATATTTGCACGAATTTCCTTAACAGGGTCGTGTTAATAATACATATCATGGTTCTGAAGAATATCGACTGAAATCAACACTTCAGAAGTCTTATGGTCATCGTGCAATTAGTAGATCGTTCTGACTTATTTGTATCCCAACTTATTAGCGACATGTATTTTGGTTTCATAGAATTTTGTCTGTTTTTTTAATTAACCGATGTTGTCATATTCCATATCTTGTCAAATTGACATAAGTTGTAGTCCAATGATAGTAGTTCAGTTCGACGCGATTCCCTCAGTACTTTATCCTGATTTATATATTAGAAATACATTTACATCAGTATACTGCTGTTGCCATCTAGGTATATCATTATACTGCCCACTTTCCAAAGCAGGCGGTACATAGTGATATGGGAATTCGTTTTTGTCAGGTTTTTCGTGTTTTTGTTCCACTTTTGTATCCGCAACTGCTCCTGAACCAATTTACAGAATTTAATGTAAATTTCATAGAATCGTTCTCCTGTCAATTTTTTTTTTTTTGGCATTTACTATTTCATTTATTCATCTTTAAAATATAATTGTGTTTACTTGTATGACTATATAATTTGACACACTATCCAACTATAATACACATGTTTATATCAGTTTCTCCTTTATGCCCCTTATCAGGATATAATTAATCTTTCTCACAGCCTTTACCATATAATGCCTGTTAACACCTCTTATTTTGTGTTTTAGCACGGACCGTTTTGGGTTTTCCTCACCGAAGCATGGACTTCGCCATTGTGTGTTTAGTGATACCCATTATGTACCCGTTTCTCCTCGTAACAATAAATATGATTCATTGAAATTTTCTCACAATATTATCCATATAATGCCTTGTGCAATTCTTTTATAGTTTTGGAATATTCTTAAGGTTCTTCTTGCTAATTTTTGGACTTGGATTATCTCATTTCTCTATTAAGAGAGTTTTCATTTTGTCATGTTCAGCAACTCCTTAAAAAAAAGGCAAAATATCTTTAGGGAACTAGCAAAATTCATAAGTGCTAGAAAATCATCACGCCATAATCTGTATGTTAGATTAACTGTATAGTCCCATCTTGGATTGTAAAATAGCAGTACACAATTGGTGAAGTTATTTGCTTAAATCTGCAAATATTTAGACAGATTGGCAACTAATGTGTTAAATTCTTCGTTTAAATAAAGAAAAATAAGTGATTTATTGCATTAAATAGACTGTTTTAAAATATACTAAATAAGTGTTTTTGTTCGATTCAATTTGTCATATTTGTCAACTAAGAGGAGATAACTCTTAAAGTAAAATGTTTTATACTGGAATGATAGTGAAATTTTCATTTTTACTCGTAGCAAAAAAAAAACAATTTCAGTGACATCCTTTTTATTTTTATTTTCTTCAAGCATTTTATAAAACCTATCTTCTCATATTCTATTTTAAAGTTCTATCTCATAGATCTCTTTTTATACACAAAAAGTGTTTTTTATAAATAATCTTTGCAAAATTGAGCAAATTTGAACGACATGTAGCTTGAAAAATAGCATAGTGACCCATACTTTGGATTATATTTTTTTTAAAGCATGGAAAAATCTCCATTTTGGTAAAGTATACGAAAATTCTATCTGAAGAAATATATAGTGATGATCCACATTAATACAATTTTATTCATAGTTGTCACGTTTTAACCATATCATCCCTAGCATAATCATGCTATTATGTAACTCCTAATACAGTTTTAAATCAAAATCATATTATTTAGGATATCCTGTACCAAACTATGGACTCTAGATTCCTTCTCCCAATTCATTGATATTCGTTGAAATTGTTTGCAATCTTTTATCATGAATTGATATAGCATACTTTATAATTTGTTTTTCTATAAGAATAGTTTTTGGTTTTCCTTACCGAAATAAGGAAAATTTTTATTGCTTTATTTCGGTGTTCGCATTTTGTTTCAAATCATTCTAAAACTCGTTTACAATTTATTAAAAATGTCTCACAATTTTAACCATTTATTGGTAATGCGCAATTCTTATTTTGTATTTTGATCAATGAGTTACGCCATTACTTTCAGAAATTCATATACACACTACAGAACACTTCTATATCCCCTTCTTTTCCTCAACCCCTAATCAGAAGTTGGTGGAATATCCTCTGAACCATCTGTTGTCAATGTGACCTCTCATTTTGTTTTTAATTTCAATATCGGAGGACGGAGTGTTTTTTACAAAAGCATGAACCTTGCAAGGGGCGGTATAATTTTGTAATTTTTTTACAGTACCTCGAGATTTCTTAATTAAGCAAATTATTATTCAAATGTATGTTATCCAATTACATACATTTATGTTGTTTGAAATAATTGTTTTATCTTTGGAGCCGTACATTAGACATAATTGTACAATGCAGACTTTTATAGACAGTCTCCCTATCAATATTTTATAAAAATTGCCTGATTATAAT